ATACACATGCAAGTATGTCCTCAGCATGTGGGTTTCTGCAAGGCTGTCCGGAGTCCTGCCGGGTGCCGGAAGAAAAAATGCAATATCAGCTTCTGTCAGCTTCCTGAACGTGCACTCCATGTAGGCTTTCTGTAAGGCTTTCCTGTTGGGTGCCGGAAGAAGCAATGCGTTACATTATTGGGGGGCCCAATCCTTGTCAAGAAGGGGGCCGGCTCTGGGGGATGCAACCCTTGTCAAAAGGGCGTCGGGGAGCTGCACTAATGGGGGGACACAAAAGCCCGCAAATGCTCGATTTTGCAATGACCGGAAGCCAAACCAAGGCCCCTTGAATTTTCTTGGTTTTCGGCCACGCTTGCCAGCTGCTCCAACTCGTGAAAGGTTGGGGGCTCCAACCCTTGTCAAGAGAGGGCCGGCTCCAACTCGTGAAGGGTTATCTGGGAGCCGCCCAAACGGGGGGACCCCACGAAAAACCCCAAATGGTCGATTTTGCAATGGCCGCTCCTGTTCAAGGCCAAACCCAAGGCCCAATTGAGTTTTCCACAATTGTCGGCCAATGTTGCCAGCTGCTCCAACTCGTGAGAGTCCCTGTCAAGCCAGGGGCCGGCTCCAACTCGGAATTTGACTGTGTGTATACAGTGTGATCCCGGTGAGTGCGTTTCTGTAGAAATCGGGTCGCACCCACCTATCGCGCGTTCGCGTCGGCATTTAGTCCTCCCACCCACCCCAACTATTCTTAGGGTTCACACCCCAACGCCTTTTCAATGGGGGTTTTCTTGCTCTTCGCTGCCCTTCGTAATTAGTTCTGCGTAACTTGAACGTTTCACAGCCGAGATGGATTGTGGCTGGTTGTGGGCCCTCGCCCCGGTCGTGAGTTTGGGGTCCTCCTGCAGGGCGGCGTCACTTTGCATTCCTCGTATACCGGGAGGCTTTACATAATTTACCCCAGGGTTGATGGTTTAGACAATTTCCGTAAGTGCCCATGTGCTGTACCAAGATGGTATATACCTTGACCCCAAAGCACCTATACAGGGACTACATTTAGGCCAAACGCATACTATTTGGGCACATGGACACGTGAGGTTTGATTTATGTTTAAGAAAGCCCTATAAAACCCCTATCGTAGGGCCCAAGACATTCCGGTAAAGCCGTCTAAATCCTACCCGGTAAAGCCCCAATAGGGTAATGTAATTCTGCTTATAAGTATACTGCAAGGCATCAAGCCATACTACGTTACCCTAAACCCTAAACCCTAAACCCTAAACCCTAAACCCTAAACCCCCTGCATTAACCCTGGCCTTGTCCCGCCGCTCAGCCGCGAAGTCCGTGCTGAAACGACCATGGGGATAGGGCCGTCTTCGCACAAAAGCCTAGATAATTCCCAACGTTATTCTAAGCATCCTGAAGGTATTTATACTATACCCAAAACCCTGTTCTAATTATTAAGGCCCCTACATCATGGGGATTAGTGTTTAGGGTTTAGAGATTGGGGTTTGGTTTAATGAATAGGGTTGTTCAGAGTTTGGGGGTTTCGGCTTCAAGGATTAGGGTTACGGTGTAGGATGTAGGGGTCTGAGTTTCGGAAACCATGCCCTACAATTTCCCCTACATAACCCCTAATCCCCAAACCCAATCCCAAGACTCCGAATCTGGCATCACCCCGAAAACCCTAAACAAGTATCCCATGTCCCAACACCTGACGTTGTCTCCCAACATAATCTCTCTACTTCTGCTGTACACCAAACTCCTGAAACCAAGATCGCAACACCCTGCATTCCCGATATATATATATATATGTATGTATGTATGTATGTATGTATGTATGTATGTATCTTAATACGACCCCTAATATGTGTGTATATATATATATATACACTGTTACAGGGTGGGGTCAGTACCCAAGATCAAGCCTAAACCGTAAACCCTAAACCCCCAAACCCGATACCGCGACGAAGGATACTCAGCCCAGCGAGCGGACACAACAGCTCCTTCAGTCTACAGCCAGAGGAGAGCGGTGTCAGCCTTGTCCTCAGACGTGTTGGGGGGCCTTAAACCCTAAACCCTAAACCCTAAGAAAAAAAAGGGGCTTAGGCGTGTGGGGTTCGGGCTCGAGGGTTTATAGGGCTTTTAGGGGAGTTTCAGCTTGGAAGCTATCTCCAACCCGGTAAAGGATCTAACAGTGGAGCCCATATGGCCTCTTTCGAGGGTTCTGTTCTTGAGATCCTTTGAGGGGTGTGGTTTTATTGGGTCTTTTGAAGGCGACTCAATTGCTTTTGGTTGAGTCGCATCTCTTTTAGAAGGGGGCCAGCATTTGTGTATACCCGACATGAGGAAGGGTGTCTTGCCAGGTATGTATGAAGGGTTCGTCATTTTGTCATTGTGCGAGGGGTTTTGGTGGTGTGCAGGGTTTAGAGGGTTTCAAGAGGGGTTCTGGTGGGGATTGCTGTGACAGTAAATAGGGCGTCTTCTGCAACTTGTGACATATGATAGGTGCTATTATGTTTCGGGTTTATCTCCCATAAGTTCGACATGCTGTCAAGGCTCGTTCCAGTAGCCGCCCCCGGTCTCTTTTTCGGAACTTTTTGTGGACACACTTATGATCTAAAGGCCCACAGAGAGTGTTGAAATCGTCGCCGACGTGTCCCCGATCCCTTCAGTGATGCGCAGCCATTTCTCGGAATAGTGTGTATGATTTCAGCGCGAAAACGCATATCTTCCTGGTGTTCTTGGCGTGGGCTGCCTATGAACCCTAAAACCCTTGTCCCGAGAGATGCCATAGTAGTGGAGTAAACAAGCCTGCCATATATTTGCTTTGGAGCGCAAGCAACAGTAAAGGCCCTTAACCAAAAATCCAAGCCTTGTCCCACGCCAGTGGGCACCCATGGCGCAACCACACTCTGCAATAGTCCGAAGCTCAAGCCCCAGACTCTGCAACCCTAGTGGAGGTCCTTGGGGCAAGACTTCCGAGAGCGAGCCCGTGATCGTATACACTCAGTGTCCTATCTGTATTAGGGTTTAGGGTTTAGGGTTCAGTGTCCTACCTGTATTCTGCGTGAAAGGGGTTTAGGTTTATTTAGGGTTAAGGGTTTACAGGGTTTAGGGTTTACCTGTATTCTGTGTTAAAGGCGTTTGTGGGTTCCGGGTTTAGGGCTTGGGCTAGGGCTAGGGTTTAGCGACGTGTACGGGTATGTGGGGTCCAGCACTTCATCACTGGGTTTGGGAGGCAGGGACTATTCAATTCTAGGACTTGAACGCAAGTTGTACCGAGAGAGCCCACTATCCATTGCTGCAGATGTATTCGGGTATAATTTGTACATGCACGGAAGTTCTCTCGAACATGTAAGAGATGCTTGAGTAGATTCCTCTATTGAGATGCATTCTCGTTGGGACCTTATCCCCATGCCCCTTTAGGATTCTAGCTTCAGAAAGCGATTTGCAGTATAGGTTTTTGGAGCTACAATCTTGGACTCGGCTTTTTGATAAGCTAGTTTATGATGTCGACCCTAACCAATTTGCTAGCAGCGAAGGTAACCAACAAGGGTACTACATTGTAGCCTTCAGGCTCCATGGACCTATGTCGTATAGATTTAGCCCCCACGCGGGTTCCTACATGGGTGCTTTAGGCCGCCTTAAACCCTAAACCCACCCTTGACCCTACATAATATAGGTACTTGAGGCCAAAGTATATACTTTCTGTGTGCCTGGAGCCTCAGGGGTAGGGTTTGGTAGAATCCAGTAGGCAACATGGACTGCACAGACTCAGCGGATCGACATTAACCAGTTTCGGGGTCTAGGAGTCAAGGGTTTGGGGTTAAGGGGCCGGGTTGAGGGTTTAGGAGGTTAGGTTGTCGATCTTTCTGCAACTTTTGGGGGTGAGATCAGTGAGAAACCCTAATTACCCTGCCGGTGCGTGTGCGCCTCCAGCATACTTTGAAAATGCATTCTACGGGCGTACAGGGCCCCTTGTCGGCGCAGTTAGCAATAATTTCAACTTTTGCTGCATATACCCGTACCATAGCGCCCCAAAACTTATTCAAACTTATAGGCTTCTAAACGCTAACCCTGCACCCCACGAATCTAGAGCCAAAGCCCTACACCGACCCAGCCGCGCAATCCCCCAAATGAGGAAAAGCGAAGCCAAAAAAGGACGTCATTCCCGAATGAGAGTCCTTCTATGACCTGAACTGCAGACTGCCTCCTGCTTGGAGGGGCTCTGGGGTATTCGGTGTAGGCTTTAGGGTAAAGGGAATGGTACAGACACTTCCATGCCGCGATCTTCCAGGGTTTAGGGTCTAGGGTTTAATTGAATAGTTGACATTCGCATGCTCGTCACCATCGTTACGTGGGCACCGTCAACAGCATAACATGGCCATAACCACCGTGATTTACGATTGCCACAAGTACTGGCGGGTGGTGGTCGTGATAGGTGTCGTTGTTGGCGGTGGTGGTACTAGTAGTAGTGGCATCGCTAGTCGGTGATCCTATTCCCGAAAAAGTGTAATGTACTCAGTATGGATCTCTTATGGTTTGGAGTAAAGAGAACTGGTTAGTGGAGCCGTGCGACGTGTGGAAAAGCCTATTTCGTGCTCAAGTCCTACTTTGATTTTAAGTACAAGGGATCCGCTGGAAACTGCGCCCGGAAAGCCAGCTTCATTGCAAGTTACAATATATACATGGCCGAGTTTTTGACGAACTGTTACCACCTCTACTGCTACATCGTCTCCTCCTGCTGCTACTGCCACTGCTAGTCGGCGGCTGCTGCTGCTGCTGCTGCTGCTGCTGCTGCTGCAATGCCGCTGCTACCGCTACCGCCACTACTGTTCCTAGTCAGAATATGTACTGTATATACAATTGAAGAGTGGTGGGGGTTTGTAGTCGTAGAAGCAGTAGCAGTCGTCTTAGCCGTGGCCGTAGTGCGAGACTAACTGAATCTAGTCTGGTCATCGTCCTAGTGCCGAAGTGTCATATTGTCACATTGTCGCCGTCGTAGTCGTAGTCGTAGT